AACATTCATTTGAAGTTTCAATGAATCCATTTACTTTTTTCAGTATTTTCCTCAAATTCACAATGTTTGCACGTGCACGTATCTCTAGATGCAACTAGATTGGATACACATGCTTAAGAGGCGGATGTCAGCCATTTCAACAACTTAGTAAGTTGCTCTCTAATTGTGAAGAAGAAAAAACGCTTTAAAAGATTGAATACGGACGATCACCTTACTTTCTGTTCGTGATATTTGAGTTGAAAAAGAAAATGGAAAGACAAAAAAGAAATCAAAGAAAACTTCATCAATTTACAAGAAAAAAACCAAGATCTTCATTTGGCTCAAACCAAACAGCTTTTGACTCACAGACGATTGATCTGAGGTGCGAGACGGACGCGATAGTGTGGGCCTTCACAATCCTTTTAGGACTTTTAAAAGTTTCAACAAATAATACAGATACGGGATTCGCTAGACATTGCATCCATTTGGTGGTGATCTACATATCATTGGCTTTGAGCTGACGCCTCATCTAAGCGAAAAATGATTATATGGACTGGCCGCTGCCAGACACCCATGGAACATCTCTGAGATGCCCTATTAATGGTAAAAAGTGGCTATTTTGGGACAGAGAACTAAAACGATCATTAACACGAGAAGCATTTTTTGAAATCCTTAAGACCGCTAAATGTTGAGCATAAAACTTTGAGATTTGAACTAATTTCATACTATTGTGGGCATGTCAATGGGCATTTCAAATAATGTCTGTTACTTTTGAAGCTTTATATGTAAAAATTTATTATTAAAGCTCCAAAATGCACACAGGGAAGAAAGTACTCGTTTTGCTTGAAAAAATGATTAGAATATTTGAATGCGGTGGTTTTCGCGATCGCTGGCGACAACCCCTCCGTCAGAAACACACAAAGCTTCGACACCTTTGAGTTGCCCTGCGCCTCCACCCCATGTTCCAAATGTGCATATAAATTCGCCGTCGGACGTAAACACCTGAAAATGCTCACTATGTTTCTATGATATCAGTTGTTTATGTGAGAAGAGTAGCAAGAGGCAATATCATACCTGGATTCGGTTGTTACCCGAGTCCGCAACCAAGACATTACCCTGGAAACAAACGAG